GGCAGCCTTGAGCCGGTGGTGTGGGGGGCGCAATCTGGGAATGGGGGTCCATGGAACCCAAAGCAGAGATGCAGGGAGTCCCTGGAAGAGAAGGGTGCCTGAGAGAAGGATGTGGGGGGTGAACAGGGGGACCCCTTGTACGACGCTCCCAGGGGCTGTGGGGCGGCACCCAAAGCAGAGATGCAGGGAGTCCCTGGAAGAGAAGGGTGCCTGAGAGAAGGATGTGGGGGGTGAACAGGGGGACCCCTTGTACGACGCTCCCAGGGGCTGTGGGGCGGGCACTCCGCTCCCCACGTCACACCTCAGCTGTATCACGTCCCCACCGTCCTAGCCCCTCTCCTGCGGCTCCCTGGTTCGGCCCTGCAATCCATCACCGTCAGCCACAGGGAACTGCCAACCGCAAGAAAAACAGCCCTCTTCGCGGCAGCTGGCCCCCGTTTTTATAGGTCCTACGAAAACCCTTCTTTGCTCCCCCGGTGTCACGGCAAGGAGAGTACAGCCGAGAGAGGCTGCGCCAACCTGCGTCTGGGATGATAAAGGGACTGCACAAACACCGTGCCTACGGCATCGCTACAATGCAGCTGCCTCTGGGGTGGAGGGCAGCAGGGAGGGGAAATTTGGAGCAAAACAGCAGCTCCCCTTGTCTTCCCAAAGGAGCCCGGACCCCCAATTGCATGGCCAATGAAGTGCATGGCCGTCTCCTGGACACCGGGCCGAGCAGAGCCTGCTGGGACCGACGGGGTGTGTGCGTGCGCGTCACGCCCCTCGCCCCCGCGGCGTTTGAGATCCTGTGTCACGCCCTTCCCCCTCTGTCGTTCTGCCCCGGCACACACGGGGCGGTTTCGCGCTGCAGCGGGCCCTGCGTTGCTGCTGGGTTGCCAGGGAACTGGCTGCCAGGCCCTGCGTCAGCGGGTTACCGAGGGGTTGGCTTGGCTCTGACCCCCGGGCTCCTGTCCCCGGGGGGGGCTGGGGCTCCATGCCAGGGCACCCAGGAGGCAGGGGCAGCATCTGGGGAACCCCAGGGGGCCGCATGGCTCCCCGTCACAGC